AGAGAATGACAGTACAATCATCCTGGTGAGTTCCTGGAAAGGCGCCCTGCTTTCTGAGCCCTCCCTCCCTCTGCTCCTCTGCAGCTATTTTGGAGTCTGACTCTGACCCAGATTCTGAAGAAGACGAAGGAGAAGACAAGGTATTTAGATCCTCTTCCAGTTCAGCGGCTGATTCGAACATCGAACTTCTTTACAGTCACATCCCATCCTCCCTTCCCCTGAGCCCTAGGTGATGTACGCAAATCTCCTTCTCCCTGTTCTGTTTGCACAACCACCCTGTGAGGTAGATCAGTCTGAGAAACAGGGACGGCCCCAAACCATGCAACATGTCTTATGGCTCTATAAGGGCTTGAACCCGGACCTCCCATCCTTCCCTCCTTGGTGGGCAAAGGGGGGGGGGCTTCTCCAGCCTGGAGCCTGACCAGTGAAACCCAGTCCTCAGACACCACTAGTGTATAACAGCTTCCCCAGTGAGATGATCTTCAGAGGCAGTGAACTACAACTCCCATGGCCTTACAGCTGCTGATAGGACCATGGGACCTGTAGTCTACCACATCTGGAGGGCACCAGATTGAGGGAGGCTGATAGGCAGTCAAGCTGACATCTCTTTGCACCTTACTTCAGAATGACATGCCCTTCATGGAACGGTCCGGGTGGCAAGTCCTCTTTTTCTGGGTGTTATTCTACACACACGCTTTTCCAGGGGAGGGGCTCCTGCAAGGGCTGGAGGGCGGGGGTCTCTGAGATGCACCGAGGGAGAGATCCTTACAGCCCCATGCATGGCCCTTTGATCCTCACAGTACCACATTACCTTGGGGATGCGGAATATCAGGAAATATGTATGCCATTCTTCTTGGCAATAATGTAAAATAAGAATTAAAAGTCGGGGGGGGAGAATATTCTAAGGCTTAATTGATCTGATTTAATCAGGAAGAAAGGCATTTTCACCATATGGATTTCCCCGAATAGAGGTCAGCAACACGCTGTCCTTGAGTTCTGTGTGCCCCCAAGGGGACCCAATGCACCCCCTGCTCTCACCTGCGCCAGCCCCTCTGGGAAAAAATAACTCTTTTTTTGGGGGGGGAAAGAATTTCTCAGAAAATCCCCTTCTGCTCTCTAGGGGCTGTGGGCCCAATTTTGCCATGTTTTGAGGTGGGGGGCACTGTCTCAGCACCCCCATGTTTCTCCAAACTTTTGAAAATATTTATGAACACTAGAGGGTGCAAGAGTACATTTATAGGGGGAAAAGGCAATTGCTATTTCCAAGAAAAGATTTTTTGGGGGTGGGGGTGGGGGAGAGAACCGAAGGAGCAGCTCTCCAAAATCCACAGGTCAACCCATGGCCCTTGGCCTTATAGAGGTTGCCCAGTCCTGGTGTATCACGATGCTGGTCTTGGTTATGCAATATGTGGTCCTGCGGAGGTTTGTTGGACTCCCTCCCCCAGCATGCTGCCCCCTTGGGTTTACCCTGGCTAGGGGCCGGCGCAGGTGGCCGTCCCACCAGATCTTCAGGGCCACCTGTTGCTCCACCAACCCCTGCTTCAGGAAGAGGACGCCCACCCTGCTCTGTGGCTAGTATTCTACAAAGAAACCTCAGATGCAGACAAAGACGAGTTCCCTTCTTGCCCTCCAGGACCAGGCTCTTGTTCAAGAAAAAGATGAGGTGAAGGAGAAGCTGGCGTGCTTTGAGCATGGTGAGTTCACACACACACCACCGGCTGCCACACCTCTTTCAGCTGCTTGTGGCATCACGGCACCCTCTTGTCCCAGTTTGCAAACTTAGCTGCCTCTCTGGTTATCAAGACAACACAGTGGGGTGTGATGGAGGCAGGTACGAGGCTTTTTAAAAAGTACAATTAAAGGGGGGAGCGTGTGCCGTTCTACAAGAAGACCAACGGCAGCTGAGATATTTGAGTTGTGCAAAATGTGCATTCTGTTCGCTGAAAAGCAAGTTGTCCACGCTCCTCCAGAACCCTTGTAAGAACATTTGATATTTATGCTCCATGCAGTGTAGGTGGGGTTGTGCTGAACCTATCACTATTAAGCAGGACTAACGACTCCAGAAACTCATTCATTGGGTAAAAGGCATTCTGATTATTTCAGGAAATCCATCTAGAGATGGTGCAAGAGGAAAAGCCCTAAACCTTATTAGAGAAGCCCCCACAGGTGTCTCCCGCATCTAAAACTCTGCTCAGAGGTTCTGGAGAAGCTATGAGACCAAGCTAAGAAGAGGACATGCAGGAGGCAACTTCAGAGACAGGAGGAGGAGCAGAAAACCAGTCCAAGAGTAGCAATGCAAACCTAGATCTGGAAAAGATGAGGGGGATACAAATGCTAAGGTCGTTTATCCACTTATCCTCCCACCCAATCCCTTCAGGTCACTTGCTACAGGTATTGGTGCCCCACTTCCAATGCCCCCTCAAACCCTGACCATAGGTATCCATCCCACTGCCAAAGATCCTGCCTAGACAGTGCCCCACTTCCCGTGCCCCCCAAACCCTGACCATAGGTATGCAATTCTCCATCCCACTGCCAAAGATCCTGCCTAGAGAGGCCACCAGTCCTCTCCACAGAATGGGCAGCAGGCTTTCTCAGAGGAACAGAATCATTCCTGGGGTCGTCTCTCTATAGGCAGAAAGGTGGAGTAGAAATTAATTGAATAAATTAAGACTCAAACAAATCTTGTGAAGCTGCCAGTGTCATGATAAAGTTGGTAATGCCAGAAAATACCCAGTGTGGTAGGGACCTTTTGGGTTCTTTGTTGTTTAGTCGTTTAGTTTAGTCTGACTTTTTGTGACCCCATGGACCAGAGCACACGCCAGGCCCTCCTGTCTTCCACTGCCTCCCGGAGTTTGGTCAGAATCATTTTGGTTGCTTCGATGACCCTGTCCATCCATCTTGTCCTCTGTCGTCCCCTTCTCCTCTTGCCCTCACACTTTCCCAACATCAGGGTCTTTTCTCTTCTCATGAGATGGCCAAAGTATTCGAGCCTCAGCTTCAGGATCTGTCCTTCCAGTGAGCACTCAGGGTTGATTTCCTTTAGACTGGATAGGTTTGTTCTCATTGCAGTCCAGGGGACTCTCAAGAGCCTCCTCCAGCACCACAATTCAAAAGCATCAATTCTTTGGCGGTCAGTCTTCTTTATGGTCCAGCTCTCATTTCCATACATCGCGACTGGAAAAACCATAGCTTTGACTATTTGGACTTTTGTTGGCAAGGTGATGTCTCTGCTTTTTAAGACGCCGTCAAGGTTTGTCATGGCTTTCCTCCCAAGAAGCAGGCGTCTTTTAATTTCGTGGCTGCTGTCTCCATCTGCAGCGATCATGGAGCCCAAGAAAGTAAAATCTGTCATTGCCTCCATCTCTTCCCCTTCTATTTGCCAGGATGTGATGGGACCAGTGGCCATGATCTTCGTTTTTTGATGTTGAGCTTCACATCATTTTTGGTGCTCTCCTCTTTCACCCTCATTACAAGGTTCCTTAATTCCTCCTCACTTTCTGCCATCAGAGTGGTATCATCTGCATATCGGAGGTTGTTGATATTTTTTCCGGCAATCTTAATTCCGGTTGGGGAGTCCTCCAGTCCAGCCTTCCACATGATGTATTCTGCATATAAGTTAAATAAGCAGGGAGACAATATACAGCCTTGTCGTACTCCTTTCCCAATTTTGAACCAATCAGTTATTCCATATCCAGTTCTAACTGTTTTTTCCTGTCCCACGTATAGGTTTCTCAGGAGATAGATAAGGTGGTCAGGCACTCCTATTTCTTGAAGGATTTGCCATATTTTGTTGTGGTCCATACAATCAAAGGTTTTTGCATAGTCCATGAAGCAGAAGTGGATGTTTTTTCTGGAACTCTCTGGCTTTCGGTTCTAGGCTCCCTATCAAGGATAGCAACTCAGCAACACCCCCCAACCTGAATGTCTCTGGAATAATTTGGGTGCCATCCACCAGGAGCTTGTCTTCGGGTTAACCACCCTCTCCTCACCTTCCTGTTCCCAGTTTCTCAAACTTTGCTGGCAGAGCTGTCCACCCTGGAGGCAGAGTACGAAATTGAGAAGTCATGTCGGGAGCAGGCCGAAACCTATGCGGCTCAGGTGGGTGTGGCTCGGTAGGTGAGGCGCCAGGGCCCAAAGGTGGGTGGCCATGACCCGGAACCAGTTTAGCACCAGAGAACCAAGAAATGAAGGCTACGAAGCGGGGTGCTGTGGAGGGCTTCCCGTTGGCTGTCTTTGAACAGCGGCCTTTCCCCCAGGGGTTTCACACAGAGGTTGGGGCTCAGAATTAGTCCTCTAATTCGCCCTTTAGGGCGAAACAGAAGAGATGGTGGTCATAGGAGCACAACCTGGAGACAGACAGAAAGATCGTGGTAGTTGCAGTGGGGTCTGGAGAGTTCCCTGAATCTACGCCAACAGACCCACATCTCCCTCTTTCTCACTGGTTTCTCATATAATTCCTCTCTCCTGCACACCACACATACGACGTGATGTCCCAGGGCAGAGTTTGCTGCAGTCCTCTATGCCCCTGTTGTGAGTTTTCCTTTCATCGTCGCATCTCCACTTCCACAGATGAGCAGAGAGAACAAGAACCTGAAGCGGATCAGCACCTCCCTCCTGCCTCTGCTCAGCCACCTCCCAGGGGATCTCGTGAACCTGGGCAACGCGGAGGAGGCTCCCAGCGAAACGGCAGAAGACCTGGTGGGTCAATATCAGGAGCAAATCAAAGGTGTGTCGGGGGGCCCCTTGTTGTCCTATTGCTCAAAGGCCTCTCAGGAGCCACCACCAAACAGTCTTTGGAGGTGGAGGGTGAGCTCTGGCACAACCAAAGAACCTGCGGCTCTGGGGTGCACAGGAGGCGAACCCCTTTCGGAGCAATGCAGTGGCTTCATAACCAGATCAATGGCTTGGTTCATCTCCAGGCTAGAAGGATCACCTTCTGAACAGCAGTAGGTCTTCTAAAGCCACCCTTTGGAGATCACAGCCAGGATCTTCAGCATACAAAGAATGAAACCTATCTCTGTGACAAGGTCTTCCTTGGTCCCTCCCCTAGCCTAGAGCACATCTAAGAAAATTTATTTTTCTTGGATGACACAATCTAGGACTCTTCTCTCCCCCGGCTAGCAATAAGCAAATTGATTTGGAGGAATGACTGCAGAGTAATCAGGGTGGAAAGAGAGAGAGAGAGAGGAGCACCATGAAATCAATCACTTGACACACCATTCAGGAACAGCCAGGCAGCCACTAAGGGTGAATACAGTGGAACCAGGCGGTTTATGGTCATGACCTGCCTCCAGGGGCTGATCAGTCCCCGTTAAAGGGGAAATCAATCCTTTTTTTCAGCCTGGGGTTCAAAAAAAATGGTAGCTTCTTGCTTATTCTGTATACCAGCAATGGAAACACCACAAAGAGGAAAGAAAAACAATCTCACAGTATACTGTCACTGATCTCAAGGTGGCTATTATCTAAAACAGGAATTGCAGAGGGAGATTTGAGGGGAAGACAGCTGAAGTCGGTTACAGCCATAAATCCCAGTATTCCTCTGGAGGCTTAAACAAAGACCAGCGCTTTTTAGCACTGTATGGCTAGCATCTTGTCACCTAAAAGTAGACTGGAACTGTGTGAGTGTCCCACCGCTCCTGCAGCCTCCTTATCACACATCACTGTTCTCATACCAGTTGTGAGGTTGGCAATGCAACTGGTCACACAAGAGGAAGCATGAGGGAGGCAGGGGGAGTGGAGGGGAGATTTGCCTTCTGCTCCATGTTTAGACAAGGAGAGACCAGCCTAACAAGGTGATTTCCCCCCCCCCAACAGCGTTGAACTTAGCCAAAAGTTGTTTTCTCTGCCAAAACTCTGGCCTGAGAATCAGAAGGTGATTCAGGAAAAATGAGCTGCTTCCTGAAGGCAAAAGTCCTTGGGCTTCAAAGACAGCCATCATGCGTCAGCCTATGAATGCATGACATTAATTAATTGCTCTACGTACTGCCTGTAAATGCAAGCAATGGATGCTTCACCTTTTCATTACCAGAGTTTCTGACTTATTTCGTTTGGCCCCCATTCCCACAACCAGGCACTGTGTGCATATGAACCGGTGGCCTAAATATTGAACTCCATGTATCGAAAGAACTGGGCAGCAGAGGCACGCCCAGAGCAGCTGGGATTTTTCTGGGAATGGCAGTCCTTGAAAATAACTTTCCCAGCCTTGGAGGGTGGGCAACTTTTTATTGTGATAGGGAACGGGGAGAGAGCAAATCCGCTCCGGGTTTTAGGCTGGCCTTTACAGGAGCTATTCAACCTGCTAAACCAATTTCTGGGGGGAAAAGGTTTCAGCACCCCGGAGAGCTCATTGCAGAGTCCAATCTAAAACCGCAGCCAGCATTTCAGATATGTCTCTCAATCCGAATGCAATCTGCCTTTTCCTTTCTTTCCTTTGGTCCAAGACCTTCAAGCAAAGGTTTCCCGGCTGCTAGGTGAGAAGAAAGAACTGGCTCTGCAGGTGAAGGAGCTCCAGGATCAGCTCCAGTGGCTCCAGGATAAGGTAATCGCACTTGCCCTGAGGGAGGGAGGGAGGAAAGGAAGGAAGGGGGAGAGAAAGAAAGAAAGAAAGAAAGAAAGAAAGAAAGAGAGAGAGAGAGAGAGAGAGAGAGAGAGAGAGAGAAAGGAGGAAGGAAGGAAGGAAGGAAGGAAAGAAAGAAAGAAAGAAAGAAAGAAAGAAAGAAAGAAAGAAAGAAAGAAAGAAAGAAAGAAAGAAAGAAAGAACGAAAGAAAGAACGAAAGAAAAGAAAGAACGAAAGAACGAAAGAACGAACTAACCTATTGGTGTCCAGCTGGGGACCAACCTACATAGGTGATTACTTTGATGTTGGCATGCTTTGTGTTATCCAGTTGTGAGGCTCTGCAGAGCAAGGCTTCACCAGCACAGCAGAAGGACTGCAGAAGTAGGCAGAGCTTGGGAAAGTAACTTATTTGGAGTTACAACTACCATCCCCAGAATCCCCAGCCAAAGGGCAATTCGGGCAACTATCCTCCCAAAAAGTAACTTTTTGCAGCTCTGGAAAGACTCTACGGAGAGCACTTGGTAGAAATGGACTGTGCTCTATATAGACATGAAATATTATTGTCACTGTTTCAAACTAACAGACTGTTTCTTATCTTGTTTTATCTTCTGGGAGCAAAGCTAGACGAGGAGGCGGCTGAGAAGCAGTCCATGCGGGTTTTGATGGAGCAGCGCCAGAGGGCCTGGAAGATGGTGAAACAAAGTGAGCTGGGGCCCTGGAAAGATGTGTGCATGTGTGTGCAAGTGTACACATGCATGCATGCACGCACACGCACACGCACGCACACATCACTTTTCCAGGCTTGTCGAAGCTCAGAGTGAGAGAGCAGTTTCTTCCCCCTGGATTTGTCTAAATACCATTTAAAAGCCCCCTCCAGAGGGTTGTGTAGCAACCGAAAGGGAAATATTTCCTGCAGCAGGTATGAGAATAGGAAGACCAGCCGGGCTTCAAAGAGGCAGGGGTGGTTCCCTCTGAACTGGGACGTGTCCTTCTCCAAAGGGGATGGGAGGAGACTCAGGGCTCCCTCTTGAACATCTGGCCCAACACAGAAGCAGAGCCTTATATCTCCAAAGCAGCCCCAGCGGAGGGACACCTTAATGGCTGGTTGCTAGAAATCATCCTCCCTTTCCTCTCCCCTTTGATGCAACCGTGATGATGGCCACCCTCTCCGTTCCCTTTTCCAGCCTCCCGCCTGGTCGCCCAGGAAAACCACCACATGGCTCAGCAGCTGGATCTGGAGAAGGAACTGAGACAAGAAGCAGAGACTTTTGCACACCTGGTATGAATTCAAGCAGAGCCTCCCCCTCAAAAAAACTCCCTCTCAGTTTGTGCTGTCTATGTCCCCCTTTTGGGCGGCTGGAGGTCCGTGTGCCTTTCGGGTGGCCCGAAGCCGAGACTTGGCCAGCTTCGTCAGTGGCGGGGGGGAGAGGTCCGTCCCCAGAGCTTTGCCCCTTGGCTGACCACTGTCCTCCCCATGGACCAGATGCTGGTGAAGCAGAAGGAGGCCAACCGCCAGAGTGTGATCCTGATGCAGAATGTGGGGCCAGACGCCCAGCTGCTGCACGCCCTCGAGGAGGTGGCCGACGTGACTCGAGTGCTGGAAGGAGCCAAGAGGGAGCACCAGGCCCAGGTGAGCCGTGGGACGGAGACCTCGCCCCTGAGCCCAGAGGCGGTGGCCGGCCGTGGGTCTGGTCAGGCAGGGTCTCTGCCTGGGCCAGAAAGACAGGGTGATGATCCAGAAGGAAAAGGGAAGGTCTGGACTGGATTCCAGTGTCATTTGGAAAAGGGATTGGATCAGAAACTTTACAAAGATCTCCTCTCCAGACACTTTTGTACACCTCATAGGGACACAAGACTGGGAAATGTTAATTTTTTTTTTTGGACAACATCTCCCAGAATCCCCTAGCTAGCAGGATCCTTGGCCATGCTGGACAGTGGATTTGGGTAGCTGTGGTGCCCCAGAGGAAAAAGGACAAGCCCCTCCTGGAAGACAGCATTATATTTCCATTCCCAAAGAAAACAAGATCAAAAGAGTGCCCGCGCCGCCACACAAGGGCAGGATTTGTGCTCAACCTGCCAAAGTCCCCTTTTCAGTCCTTGGTATGTTCTGTGTAGCCAAAAAAACAAAAACAAAACCCTACTACTTAGAAAGATTTTCTGAACAAGAGGTCCCAGAATCTCCCAGCTAGCATGTCCTCTTGGAGGGGATTCTGGGAGTTGTAGTCTGGTGCTAGGAGTTGGAATCCTCAAGGAGTAACTTTCCCCAGTGCCCATTAGAAGTGTGGCATAAGTTGGATGACTCTCCTATCCAGGCGTTTCCATGTTCATTCCAAGGGTCAGTGTGTGTGTGTGTGTGTGTGTGTGTGTGTGTGTGTGTGTGTGTGTGTCTCAAACACGTTCCCCCTCTCGGCTCTCCAGGTGAAGGACTTGGAGGCCCAGCTGGCACGACGGCCACAGCAGGAGGAGATGCAGAAGCTGCAGCAGGCCCTGGCCCTGGCCGAGGCAGAGAAAGACTGCCTGGAAAAGCGACTGGTCCACATGGAGGAGAGCAAGGCAGCTCTGGAAGAACGAGGTACGGCTCGTTTTGCACGACCTATCATTTTTAAAACACATTTCTAGCCATGACCACCAGGAAAAAGATGGGCTGAAGCACAGGGGCCACACTCAGGGACGTCTCAGAAAGCAGAATTTGGCTGAATGAAATTTCCGGAGTGGCTGCTGGAAACCCAGAGGGGTTGGTTGGTTGGTTGGTCGGTCGGTCGGTCGGTCGGTCGGTCGGTCGGAGTGGCGGTGGTGCAGCTGCGCTTCGCTCCATCACGACTCACAAATGTGCACAGGGTGGGGGAAGGGCAGGACAAAGAGGTTTTAAAAAAAACCCAAATGTATCACCCAAAATAAAGAAAATTAGATCGGTAACATCCAGGCTGAAGACCCCTTTATCTCCGGGCAGGGGTGAGGTTGCCTGGAGAAAGAATCGTGTTTCTTTAAAAAATCAAAGGAGGTTTGCAGAGATGCGGATGCAGAAGGCAGCCAATCTGCGGCTGGCTCTTTATCCGGCAGCTTCATGTTTCCAGGGGGACCTATCCGCTGTTCTTCATTTTAGCTCAGGGGTTGAATCTTCTGGCTGCAGAGCCAGAAGCTGGGAGTTCGATTCCCGCCCACCCCTGCCTCCCTGACAAGTGGACTTCATGATCCAGAGGGTCCCTTCCGGCTCTGCCGTTCTAAGGTTATTAGCTGGCTGGAGAGCTCAGGGGTTTAAATCTGGATCGGAAGTTCGATTCCCCCCTTGTGTCTCCTTGACTGGGGCTGGACTTGGAGAAACAGCCCTCCCTTGGTCTGTTCATTCACCACCATTTGATCTCTCTTTGTTTTAATCTGTGGGGGGGGGGTTGGACAAAAATTCACCCAGGGACATTTTTGCACCCCCAGAAGATCTCACAGGGGAGAGCACACCATGAAACCATTTTTAAGAAGAAGTTGCTCAAGAAGTCCACTTGAACCCTCAAAGGGGGACATTTTGGCTTGTTTTAAGAGTCTTCGGCACCCCATCCCACTTTTTAAAAAATGGCCAGAATTCAACTGAAAAATTACACTTGCTTACTCTGTGTTCATCAATGTCAGCTGCAAATTATCACAAGTTAAAAAGTCAGCATAGGCATCTTGATGTTGTGTGCTGAGCCACACATCAGATACACAGTCGGTAATGCCTACGCCAGCTTCTTCAGTTGTGACAACTTGCAGCTGAGATGTACTGTGATGGAATTACACTGTGAGGCGTAACCGGTAGAATTCTGTTTTCTTAAACATCCTTTTTTTGGGCAGAGGAGGGGGGGAAATTTTTCAGTTTAAGAAAACTTTCATTTAAGAACTTATTGTAAGAGCCTTTACAAAATATAAGTGTTGCATTATTTTCAATGTAAAAATCAAATATGCAAATTAGGGGATGTGGCCCTCAAGTTGCTGCTGGCAAATCTCAAAAATGTCCCTCAGTCCTGTTTTAAAAGAAACATCTCTATCCTTTTTAGAACAAAATTGTACACGGGTTAGGAATGGGTCTTATTGTTGACATCACAGGCGGAGGCCGATCCGCCCTATGCGCCCCCTGGCTCCCTTTCAAAGAACATTCCACAAGTCTCCATACCAAAAGATCTGGCTTTCAAAACTCCCTAGATGCAACATTTATTTAAAATAATCAGTACTGAGTCTCTTTTTTTCACCTCAGATAAGCACTCTGTTCTTAAAATCTAGAAAGAAAGAAAGAAAGAAAGAAAGAAAGAAAGAAAGAAAGAAAGAAAGAAAGAAAGAAAGAAAGAAAGAAAGAAAGATAGAAAGAAAGAAAATGTGTGAAAAGTAAGTGACCATGAGGACCGTCCTCCCTCCTTAATGTCTAACAGTCCCATCCCTCTCCTTACAGTGAGATCCTTGGAAGAGGGAGCAAAGTTGACGAATGCAGATCCATCTCCTGGAGCTTGCCCCACTGCGGATCCTCCTCCACCTCCACCACCACCACCTCTTCCTCCTCCCCTAATCTCTTCTGCCCCCATGGAGTAAGTGCCACTTTTTGTAAAGACTGCATTGTTTAATTTGGAGGCTGCAGGGGTTCCACAGGAGCAGGGCAGCCTTTCCATCTGGATGCAAAACAAGTCACGCTGACATCCAGAGGTCCATGCACGCATGGCACCTCCTCTCAGCTCTGACCTTAAGGAACTCCCTCTTCTAACTGAAGGGCTATCCACAATGTCCAGTTCAGCCTGACGTGCAAATCAAGCTCTTTTTAACCTTCCAATAACCAGGCACAGAGTAAGTGGATTCAGATTTTATTTATTTAAAATACCTTTTAACCTGACTCCCCCCCCCATGGTGGTTCTGGGGCAAGTTTATGCTAGGATGAAGAGGCCTCTTTCCCCTCTTAAGGAAACACCACCTTTAATGATGTGCTAACGAGTTATCAACCGGGTTGGCCCTTAGTTAAACAACCAACAGAGTCTCCTCCTGGCAGTCCCTCACTGGACTGTTTCAGTCCCCATTTCAGCCTCGGTGTGCTCCCACCTCCTTTCCTAAGAGAAGGTCCTACCCATGGCTTCCTTGCATTTCTGAGAGAAAGGAGGACTAGGGTACCTCCATGCAAATCATGGAGTGTGAAGACAAGAGGAGGAGAAGGGGACAACAGAGGACGAGATGGTTGGACAGGGTCATTGAAGCAACCAACATGAATTTGACCCAACTCCGGGAGGCAGTGGAAGACAGGAGGGCCTGGCGTGCTCTGGTCTGTTGGGTCACGAAGAGTCAGACATGACTTAATGAGCAAACAACAACAACATGCAAACCACCTGGAAAATTTCTCTGCTGGAACATTGCCTTCATTCCCTTCCCACTCAATTAGACGTTGTTGCCCTGGTGGTCTGGGAAACTGCACATCTTCATTCCAAAGACATAACCATTCAAATGGGTTGAGAGACATGGGGAGGAGCATCCGTGTCTTGCCTACAGAAGGGTTTGGGCCAGGTGTCCGACAGCAGGTGAGAGGAAATGCTCGACTCTGGGCCTAAAGCCGTGAAGTGCTGGGGCTGTCCAGAGCAGAGGGGGTCCGGCTTGGTGGGGAACCTAGGGTTCTACCTCCTGAGACTCTGCCTGTGAAATGTATCTCTAGCAAGGTCTTCTGGAGTGAGGAAATGTGATGCAGGACCAAGGAAGGGGAGAGCCAGCAGGAAAGGGGGCCAAGACCACCTGTGGGCCAAATTATAGCATTAGAGATAGCCCATCGTTAAAGAGATGCACTCTACTGGCAGGAAACCGAACGGTGGTGTTCACGTAAGGTTTGCAGAACTTGTTGTGGCTGATGGATGTGGTGGTGAGGCATACCTCCGCTGAGCGCTCAGCACGCCGCCCAAACAGGCCCTGGTACCTCACCAAGGAACTGCAATTAGCCATGGGAAGTGATGCAAACCTGATGCAAAGACCAAAAAGATTCTTAACACAGAAGTGGTACCTCCGGTGTAAGACACCAGGCTTCCAAAACAGACCAAGTACTGGTGGCCTGGAGGCCAGTCCCAGAAAAAAGAGCTAGCTAAGAAGTCACACACTACCGGAACTGAGGAGCGCCCCTGCTGGGGCTGCCACACGCCCTCTGCACTTCTTGGACGACTGGGGATCGGTAACCAGGCAGTGGGATTCCCATGCCGCGGGGGCCACCCCTTGACTGTTCTTCCTTTACCTGATCTTAACTCCACAGCCCCCTCATGGCCATCAGACAGAGGAGGGCAGCGCGGCTGGTGAGACCCGGTAAGTGGAGCGGGGCCATGTTCCTTGCACTTATCCTGCTGCAAAAACCTCAGCACCACTACAGTGATGAATATATTCTATTCTATTCTGTTCACTACGCTCTTCATTTATATCCTATCCTTCTTGTTATGAAGAAACACCAGGTCATTTCTGGGATATTTCTCAGGAACCCTGGAGATTTTTCTGGAACTTCAAAGACCAGCAAATCTGGCACAAACTTTCCGGCACAAGCAGTGCTTCCCAGCCGTGAGTAACCCAGATGTGTTCTTGGACGGCGGCTCCCAGAAACCCCCGGCCAGCCCAGTGAGTGGTGAAGGCTTCTGGGAGTTTTAGTCCAAGAACATCTGGGGGCCCGAGGTTGCACAACAGGAAAACGTAATGACAAAGGAAATGTGTTGGTCCTGAAAGTGCCACAAGACTCATCGCGGCTCCGACCAGCAGAGACTAAGGGGGGCTAATCCCCCAAGGCTTCTCCTCCTCTGCCGCTTCTGCAAAGCAATCCGTAGGACCTCCAGGGGGTTTGGCTTCCTTTGGATTCTGCCTGGGTTCTCTGCACTGGGAAAGCCGATATCATGCATGTACAGGGTGTCGGGACGTGAGCTGGGAGGGGAGGAGGACAGGGAGAGACCAGAGGGAGATATCCTTAGACACGGTAGGGTGAATGGGAGCCTCAACTCCTCCTGGGGCTGAGTGGAGTTGCAGGACCAAAACAAGAGCCAAACTAGGAGGAAAAGGTACGTCGGCAAAAAATTATGCCTGGTGCAGAGACACAGGCTTTTCCTTCTCATAATAATAGATGTTGGGATCCCTCTGTGAAAACAGTTAACAGGAGCCTCCGGAGTCCCTGAAGGAAAGCGCTTCTTTCTCCATGCAAATATGTCTATAACATTTACTGCCAGTAAATGAACTGATGGACAAGGCCAGGTCTTTGACAATTTCCCCCTTTTGCTTGCTTGCTTGCTTGCTTGCTTGCTTGCTTGCTTGCTTGCTTGCTTGCTTGCTTGCTTGCTTGCTTGCTTGCTTGTTTGTTTGAACTGCAAATCCCTCCTCCTGCAAGGCAGAATGATCATCACAAGGGACTTTCCCCTGTACCTCTGGAGACCACTCGCCTGGGGTGGGGTGCGGCAGCCGCTCCTGGTGGGTTTCGCACGGGGCACCTGGTGGGTCACTCTGAGAGTCGACACAGGGTTCTCTCCACTTGCCGGTGGGTGGGTGTGAAAGCTGGCTGGTCCATTCCGAAATGGTGTTGCTGCTTTGCGGATCACCCTGGGGCTCAATTAAGTCAGAAAGGCCATGTATAAATGTCTTAATAAATCAGGAAGGCAACACCGTGCTAGGCTACGCAGGCCTTTGGTCTGATCCAGTGGGTCTACGCTTACATTCTTGGTATCAAGAAGAAACGGGGAGGCACTTGTTGTTCCAGAGGCCATCCCGCTTAAAAAGCATCTGCTCCGCTCCCTCTCCTTTGCTTCGAAGGATCAGTTAGGAGGCTTCATGGATGGTGGCACAACCTCTGGTAGGAGCTACAGTAGGTCCAGGAAACATTGCTCTTTGTTGGTGATGTGGGTGGCGTTCGATAGAGCTCCCTGTAAAATGCCAGGCTTTAGGAGGGCTGCATCCATGGCCAGTCCCACCCCACCCCGAAGTTTGCCCTTGCAGGAAGACTTCACGGGTCCTGGCAAAGGGAAGCCAACGACTCTGTCTCTCCTCTTCCCTCGTCTGCAGAGGTCCCTCGAAATGACGATGTGAAAGCCAAAGCAGTGGAAGAAATGATGGCCCGGATCAAAGGAGGGGTGGTGCTGCGGTCTGTGGGAAGGGACGCTGGGGACTCCTCCAGGGTAAGTGAGCAGACGGCGGTGGGCAGTGGGAAGGAAAGGGTCCTGAACAAGGCTGGATCCAGACCAGGGGGGTGGAGGAGTATCTCAAGCCTGATTCAGGGAACCCAAACCATATTCTACAAGGTCCTGACGACTCTTCAAAACCCCATACCAACTGGTGCCTCCTGGTAAGCGACAACAGGCCCCATAATCTGCAGCAGCGATGCTGACGCAGATGATGGAAGGGTGCCTGGCTCAGGAGGGATCGTCCGGAAGAAGAGCTAGGAATAAACCCTCCCTCATGGCCTCCTCTCTCTCTCCATGCCTTCTTTAGCTGCCATCCACTCCAGCGAGTAAGCGGAGAAGCACCGTCGTGGAGTTTCAGGTCCTCCTGGTGAGCACCACCTTTGTGGGTCAAAATGGATGTACTGTGAGCACAGCGTGAGAGGTCTCTTAAGGCAGTGGTCCCTAACCTTGGACCTCCAGATGTTCTTGGACTACAGCTCCCGCCACCTCTGCTGGTCAGGATTTTTGGGAGTTGAAGTCCAAGAACATCTGGAGGCTCAAGGTTGGGGACCACTGTCTTAAGGGTTTTCAGCCGTTTGATTATCCTAGTGTGAGGTTCTCAACATTGCAGATTACAGCTTAGCTTAATTTTGTTTGAAGACCGGCCATCTGGAGACAAACATATACTTCACCCGCCAATTGCTTGCTTGGGCACCACAGCTTTGAAGGCAACCTCTGGGATGAAAACATTTCATCACCTCCTAATTGTGAAGCTGACCTCTACTGTGTAGTTAATAGATGGATGTTGCTGTGTGTCTTCATGCTGGCTTTGACACAACCTGGAAATGTTAGTTCTGGACTGCAATTCCTCCAATGCCTCAGACAGCATGCATTTAGAGTCCAAAAAGCAATGTTTACTGGATGTGCCTCCAGGACAAACAAGAAAACAGGCTGCAGCTCAACAGGTGTTACCGTTAATAACTTTGACCCTCTGGATCATCCAGTCCAGACCCTCTCAAGGAGGCACCGTGGGGGAATCAAACTCCCAACCTCTGGCTCTGCAGACAAATGACTAAACCACTGACCTATCCAGCAGTTTCTTCATTGGTATCATGATGAGATATAGCAGACAAGGGACCAGACTCCAGCGTTACCCTTAGTTCGGGTGTAACTTGCAGGGACTCCCAACTGGTTAACTTTGATCACCATCTCAGTTGCTTATTTGAGAGATCTTCTGTTTTCAGAGGGAAATGTAGTAACGTCAGCAGTAAACATACCATAGTGAATAGCTAGAATTAGGGGGTGGGTTGTTTTTTGGGGGGTTTTTTCCCATCTTTGAGCTAAATAGATCATAGGAGAATATCAGATAATTAAAATTAGTTAATCACCTTTTTTAATTCATTAGGCAAATTACTGTTAAATTTGCATATTACAAAAATATGCTGTTAGCGAGCTCTGGAAGTTTTAGTCTAGAAAAAAAATCTTCCGGGCTCTTCATTCTTATTCTAAAGTGCAGAAGGATTTAGTAAGATTTAGACTACGAGAGTGACTGCTAAAGGAGCACTAGGACCAATGAATAGAGACTTTAGAAATCATAGAAACAACAAATAGCTGAAATCTTGTTGCACGGCTACGCAAACGGGGGAACTATTAGAGGTGAATTGCCGTAAGTTGAGAAATTTCCCTAGAGGTTGGCTGCTGCATGTTGAGTCGTGTGACTTATAGCAATTGGCCTCTAAAAGCTGCTCAGCAGGATTTCAGGCAAAGACTTATAAAGCTGTAGAGCTGGGAGGGACTGAAGCTTTGTCGATTCCAGCCCCCTGCAGATACAGAAAATCCACAGCCCACGCATGCCCTGACAGGTGGCCATCCAAAACTCTTGTTTAAAAACCTCCAGGAAAGATTCCATGATTTTCCAAAAACATCCATTCCGCTATAAATCAGGCTCTTAATGTCCTGAAAGTCTTGGAAATGTTTGGCTGAAATCTTCTTTCCTGTAATGTGAATCTATTAAATCTCACTTTCTGGAGCTGTACTTTCTTTTTAAAAAATTAAAGAAAAATAACATGTATCCATTAAACAATACTTGTTAACAAAAACATAAATGACAAATACGATCATAACCATTGGGAATAGATCTCTATATAGATCTTCATCAATACATGTTGTCTTAATTTATATCATGTGCCCTGTCTCTTTCCAAAAATATAATGATTCTTGTGTTGGGATATAACCTTTATTCGTCTTCTATAAAAAAATAAGAGCTTCTAAAAAAAAAAATAAGAACTGGACAGCGAACCAACCCTAGCAGAAATAAATGTGGCCTTGGACTCCCTCGCCTCTGGCAAGGCACCTGGAAGGGACAACATCCCTGTTGAAGTGCTGAAATGCGGTAAGGAGATCATCACCACCGAACTGTATGAAATCTTTCGTCTCTGCTGGAGGGAAGGTGGAGTACCACAGGACATGAAGGATGCAAACATTGTTACATTGTACAAGAACAAAGGTGACAGGGGTGACTGCAATAACTACCGTGGCATCTCTCTTCTTAGCGTTGTAGGGAAGCTGCTTGCCCGTGTGGTGCTGAAGAGGCTCCAGGTGCTTGCAGACAGAGTCTATCCAGAATCACAGTGTGGATTTCGAGCTAATAGATCCACCACTGACATGGTATTCTCCCTCCGACACTTGCAGGAGAAATGAAGGGAACAACAACAGCCACTCTTAGTGGCCTTCATAGACCTCACAAAAGCATTTGACTTGGTTAGCAGGGATGGCCTTTTTAAAATACTTCCCAAGATTGGATGTCCACCTCGTCTCCTTAACATCATCAGATCCTTCCATGAGGAAATGAAAGGCACTGTAGTTTTTAACGGCTCAATATCAGATTGCTTTGACATCTGAACCGGAGTGAAACAGGGCTGTGTCCTTGCACCAACCCTTTT